GTGGAAGGGAATTATAATACAAATGATTTAAGATCGAGAGCAACATAGCTTGAAGAGATTGTAGGAGGGAACTTGGCTTGATGATATACATAACAGAACCAAATTTATTTATTTTATATCAATACCATAATCAGTTTCGCTTAGCGATGAACAAACCCCACTTCTGTTCACCACTTGAGCTCCTGAGTAGCTTTGACTTCCACCCGCCTACGATATCCTCGTAATCCTCTTTCGAGAAGTCGCTGATGAAGTCATCCTTCTCCTTCTCCACTGCGTCCAGTTCCCGTTTCAGGACTTTCATGAACTGAAAAAGCAAACAGTTTGAGTTCTTTTTTAAGCATATGGGTCATTCTCAGAAGAACACACACAGAGTTTATGTAGAGAAGCGTCTGTTACCTGATCGGTTCTATCCTCTGCAATTACCTCACTGAATCCAGCATCTTTCAGCATCTGTCGAGCCAAGTAAGTTTTGACGACTTTGGTGATTTTTAAGTAGAAGAGAAGAAGGGTTCTATCTCTGTATACCTGACCGTATGCTTGTACATCATGAAGATCATAACCTCGTTGCTTGATGTAGTTTGCAAAATCTGGAGACGGCGTTTTGGGGCTTCTGCAGTAATCGGTAATGAGAACTTTGCCTCCCGGCTTCAACCATTTGTAGAATGTTCTGAACAATGCTGGCTTGTCCTGAGAGTAACACCAGTGGTTACGAATTCGAAAAAATGAGAAAGAGATCTTCGCGAACAAAGCTATACAATGAAGCCATAAGGGAAGAAGAAAAAGCGGAAGGTTATACTTGGATATGCAGAATGGTGTCTCTGCTGTAAATAACATCAAAGGTGTTATCTGGATACTCTTTCTTGGTGCAATCAGCTACTTCGAATTCTACAGAGCATTTGAGTCCTATAGCGTGTTCGAGGGCAAAAGAGATCATGTTTACAGATAGATCAATGCCTACAACATCCACGTCAAAGTTCTCAGCCATGTAAAAGTCCCCTCCTCCGATTCCGCATCCAACATCTAGAACTTTCTGGCCGGGTTTCAGATCCAGCATATCCACAAATTCCTTCGTTGTCTCTATATCAAGGTCAAAGCAAAAGAACAAAGTAAAATACGAAGAAACTTCAAATACAGAACCATCAATACTGCAAAGTTAAAACAAAATCGATGAGTAAAGAGCATACCGAGTCCCCCTGTGCTCACAAACCCTTGTCCAAAGACACGCTCATAGCGTAAGATACCACTGGATTTATACTGGACATTGTCCAAGAAGCGTTGGAAGCCCCTATCATTATCCGAACTGACTTTTTGCCAAAGCCAGCATATCTGAAATTTGAGAAAAGTATAATATGAATACGCTCATATGAGAGATACCATCAAAGGGTGGCTAAAACATGAAGAGGCATATGACCTGGTTCTGGTTCTTTTTGCTTCTCACATAAGCTCCAATGCATTTACAGCTAACCAAAGAGAGTTCGTACGAATTCCCATCATCGTCATTCATATGGCATTCTTTGAAAAGCTGAAAGGAACTCATGCACCAGAATTTAAAATAATTGTCTACAAAACAAAAGAATGGAAGGAAATAAAGATAGCACACCTTTGTGTAAAATTTGGGTTCGCGGTAGTGAGTTGGGTTGTACTTCCGCTTGTTATCACCAGACTGATGGAAGCAAGACTCCCGAAAGAAAATATACCCGCCAACCTTGGTCCATTGTAACATCTTTTTCGCCAAATCTTCAACCTGCAATTTGATGAAAAGACATTAACTTTGTCAAGGTATATAAATAACCTGAGTATTTGAAGATGAAAGCCACTCTAGGAACCACAAAGTTAAATATGGACAGGTGATTAATGTCTTTGTCCTTCGAAAGGCCAAGAAATATTAGCAACTACTGTCGTAGGGTCTTTGTATAACATAATAGTCCCAAAATGCATTTCTTTCCATTACTACACCTACTAAATCTAAGTGTGTACTGTTCTAAAGTCGTTCATGCAGTAATAAGTAAACTGGTTACCTCTTTATCAGAGAGATACATTAGCAGCCAGTTGGAGAATATCAGATCCATAGAGTCATGTGAAAAGTTCATATTCGGGGATGTGACATCAGCACACATAAATTTGACATTCTTGTAGTGCCCATTAACGTTTTCATTCTGCAGAGAAGACTCTCATGAGGGTAAAAAGCAAACAAAAACTCGGTAAAAAGACAGAGTTCCATAAGTAGCTAATAAAGAACAAGCATAAGCGGTGATCTAACCTTCTTGATAACATTATCAATGAAGTCAACCGCAATGACCTGACCGGCCTTCCGAGCTAATTCACAAGTGAAACGACCAATGCCAGCTCCAAACTCCAGCACTGTTTTCCCTTCAATCGGTGGAAGAAGCGCAAGTATCTG